GGCCCATACTTGCCGGTGGCGTATGTCACCACCTCCTCCGGGAGTTGTTCGAGGTCATGGGCGTACTTGCAGCTCCGGAATTCGCAGCCCCGTTGGGCTTGGAACTTGAGGCAGACCGTCTTGTTGTTGCGCTTGGGAATTTGCTGCAGAATCGCTTCCGGAACCGGAGAAACTTGTTGGCGGGTTTGACGGGACTCGCGGTGAGAGCCCGAGTGGGCGGAAGGCCTGGTTGATGGACCGTACGCGGTAGTGTTGCTGCGGTGGGAAGAGGAACGTTGGGACTGCGCCCAACTCGAGATTAGACCGTGGTCGATAACTTGGCGTACGAGCCGGAGGTAATCCGGCGAGTCCGAAGCCATGACTGACCGCGCTTGGTCCACCAGAGACGCAGGGTCGGCGTTTTGGCTAATGGCGATGAACAGTCTCGAAAACACATGAGTGTAGAGGTTGATCATAGCGTGAACTAGTCCGGTGGGAGCATTGTTGAGCACCCGTGATGTGGCATCAGCACAGACTGCAGCGAAGACGTCCACAATTTCGCGTGGGTACCACTCAGTAGCCACTTCTCGAATGCATTGTAGTGTTGCCCGTAGGTCGTCCATCGACGTGATGAGTCCACCCGGTACAGAATCGCCTGATGTCCATGTGGACGAGTCGTGCACCACGGTACGGCCGCCGTCGCCGTGGGCACTGGGCGGGAGGAAGTGGTCGATCGGCCGTGTCCCGAAGTCCACCGCAAACACCATCTTGGCTGTGACCTTGGTAACACGATCTTGCCCGCGTCGTGTCTCCTCATGAAGAATAGTAGAGACCCGGTCTAAAGCTGACAGCTGCCAAAACGAAACAAGATTAGACTCAATAAACTCACCATTCGGACGGGGCCCAACGCGCACAGTCCTGTGAACCCTAAGTTCCGCGGGGGACGGTCGAAATCCAGTAGTTCCAGCTAGTTCCAGCGTCAAGTCTTGGCGTCCGGAATCACGGGGGGTGGAAGCTGCCGCCAGAATGACGGTAATCGGTTCCAGGTCCAAACCCGAACTGGCCGAAGAGCAGGCGTCCCGGATGTGTACCCGCCTGAAGCCGTCCGAGGGCTACCGTAGCCATAATCTGAGTGTCGATGCGAGTGATCGTAAGGCCCAAATGCGCCGTGGTCGTGAGAGTTTCCTAAGTAATGGTCGTATCGGTCGTTCCGGTGGATGACCTCTGAAGGACGGGAATGTCCGTAGCTGGCGTCGTCCCAACGCCCGTACGCACGTGCGTCAGTGGCGGCGTCGTGTTGCTGCTGTAACGGATGGTGAAGGAGTTATTGGCCACCGTGGCCCGCGCCCTCGCGATCGCGAGATCTGCTGCGCCCGCTGTGGCGGGGGCGGTCGCGAGACCGGCTCCGGGACCGCTCGCGTGTATGGCGTGGTCTAGGCGGAGGGCTTGAGCTTCGCCCGCGGTGAGCACTGCGCTCTCGGGAATTTCGACCACGGTGGTCGTTCGGTAGACTGCCGGATGGTGCCCCAGCCGCTGGAGGCACGGCAGCACCGTGCTGATGATCGCGAGAATCAGTCCCGGTGGACGACGATAAGCGACGTAGAAGCTGCTCTTGGAACGACTGTTGAGCGGCGGCCTGTTGTGTAAGCGCCGCTTGGGTAGTTCGGGCTAGTTCAGCAATCGCGGCGAACACGTTCTCTGGCATGGCAGAATTCGTAGTGGCCACGACCGATGGAGTTGAGGGCACGGCCTCAGCTGGGGGCGGCAGTTGCGAAACAGATGATGAAAGCAGCGCGGGTGTAGAAGCGTCAGTGTTCGGCACGGCCGAAGGGTCCGGCTCGGCCGGATGCGTAACCGCAGGCGTCGGTTGGCGCCAGAGAAACTGCTCGACTGACCGACAGTCTTCGTATCGGACAATATCCGGTTGCCGGCCGTCCAGTGCCTTGCCACGAGATAGGCCGATAGCGAGGACGTCCGACGGGGACTCTGAGTCATTCTCCACATCTTCGTCCATTCGGGTAGACGGTCGGGCCGGGCCGACGTATCGGCGAGCATAGTCAATCGGGTTAACGTCGATAATGCGTCCGTACTCAGAAATGATTCCGAGATTTCTCAGATGTCAGGTCCATGGTGGAGTCCGATCCTGCTGGGACGAAAGTGTCCATGAGTAACTTCCCAATATCGCAATCAGTGTCCGTAGGTATAACGAGCTCAATCCATCGAGAACGAAATCGGGATAGCCTGCGTGTCGGTTGAGCTGTGGCAGCGACGCCATGACACCAGCCTACAACAAATTTATCGCGGGAAATCTGCTGCTGCCACACGGTGGCGCTGGGCACGACAACGTGGCGCGTGGGCGCGTCGGCGCGGCTCCGGAGAGCCACCACACACATGTGGTCACACGCCGGCTGAAGCGCGGCGCCAGCCGGCGTAGTAAACGTTCGTCCGTGAGTTGGGAAGTAACTAACGACTTGGCCAACGAGGAAGAAATCGAGCGGGACCTCGCGGTAGGAGCGACGGTCGCATTGGAGATAACAGGCATTGAACCGAACGAATCGATACAGGAGGAGGAGGGGACGGTCCTTGAGCTCCATACTTAAGTCGGTATCGGGTCGAGTAAGCCGCGAATACGGGATGACCACCGGGTCTGTAGCTAGGGCTTCGAGCGAACCCAAGCCTGTCATGTTCTTGTCATACGCGGAGCCGTAGAAGATAAGCTTACACAGCCAGCCGGGGCGGCGAGAAGAATCGTCCACCACGAACACACTCGGGTGTCCTGGCTTGATATGTCTTGGTTCCAATTGGCGGGCGTAGATGGGACCGTCCTATTCGCCTTCTTCCAGCTCCGAAGGGCATTCCAATCGTACAACCTGGTTACGGAGACTCGAGTCCATCGTGAGAGACGTCGGGGGGTTTGCTGTCATATTGGGCCGGGCTCGTTCTTCTCCGAGAGGACTCCGAGTCCTGAGCACCGTGCTCGTCTGCGTTCTTCTTCGATGAAACCACGAATGCCGTGGTTCTCCCCCAATCGGAAACAGCCGGTTCGCCTTTCTCGGTCCTCCGAACCGGTTAATCGAACCGTTCACTTCCCGGCTCCACCGATATGAATTGAGAGATGGCCTTCTCTATTACCGGGTGGATCTAGTGAACCACCACGAATGGTCGTACCCAACGACGAAGATCCGAAGCTCGACATCCTCGCGGAGGCACACAATGCGCCCTCCTGCGGCCACTTGGACCGTGCGAAGACCTTTCTGTCGGTTTTTCAGGCCTTCTGGTGGACCCACAAGTGGGTAGCCAGGTACGTGAAGACATGCGAAACATGTCAGCGGGTTAAGCCCACAGGGCACGCTTCGGCTCCGTTACAGAACCTGCCCGTACCGACTGACTGATGGAAGTCGATGAGTCTTGACTTTATCTTTGGCCTTCCCGCCGACGGACACGGCAACATCGGGATTTTGGTGTTCGTGTGTCGGCTGAGCAAGATGGTATATCTTGCTTCAGTACCCGTTACCGTCACAGGCGAACAGACCACGAGGTTGCTCGCCGAAGATATCTCGGTGTCCCGGAGACGATAGTCTCGGACCGAGACCCGCGGCCCACGGCCGTGTTCTGGAAAACGCTGTTCCCTTTGCTTGGAGCTCGTCTGCAGATCTCCACTGCGGACCATCCGCAGACAGACGGCCAGACGGAGCGCGTCAATCGAGTACTCGAAGACACTTTGCGCAGTGTGCGCGCGGAAGCCCCACGTACGTGGTCGACTCATCTTCCAGTTGTTGCGTTTGCGCTCAACAATGCGGAGCACACGTCCACAGAGTTCACGCCGTTCAACTTGAATGGCTTCCGTCACCCCAGAGTGCCTCTCACTCCTCGAGGGGACGCTGCATCCACTGCATTCTGGGGAGGGGGGGGGGGGCTTGGAAAGCTTTTCCCCCCCAGGTCTCATGTATGAGACCGGTTTCGCTACGGAAACAAGTGGGGTCCTTTGTGGATTATAAACCGAGTGTGATCAGCAGGGCCCGCGATGCCATGGCAGCGGCCCAGGACAGACAGAAGGAGTATTCCGACAAACATGGAAGAGGAAATTTAACTGTGCTTAAGGTGGATGAGTTAGTGTTATTAGACACGAGAAACCTATCGCTAGACACCGTCAGATCTGTCGGCAGCAACAGGCTGAAGCACCGCTTCATTGGACCGTTTGCAGTCCTGGCAAGGCATGGTGTGTCGTACACCATCGACCTGCCTAAGTCAATGACGACGCATTCGACGCTCTACGTTGGACGTTCTAAGCGGTACCATGATCCGTAGGGGGTTGCTGACTCGCAGACCCACCTTGCCCCAACCTCTCGATGCGATGTCCGGGCACAGACGTCGACGAGAGCGTCGGAGCAGGCACCCAAGTCTCGGGCTGAACAGCAAGGCTACGGTCGAGACCATACGTCGGAGAGGCCCCGTACGAACGGACCCCAGAGCCATATGCCGAGTACGTCGGGTACGCACCATACGCGTACGGCTGGGAGTGCGCCGAATGCGGCTCCGGACGTGGCAGCAGAGCCTCGATACGCCGGATCATGCGGAAGGCCTCGTCAAGATCGGACAAAGAGGCCCGCCGGTCCACCCGCAGATGCAGGCTCACAACCTCACACTTTAACAGATCCAGGCGGTCCGCAAGACGAGCGAGCACGCCCTGATTCTCGGCCTGGGCGGCAGCATCACCGCCAGTCCCAAGACCAAGTGCAATCTCAAGCACGAGGACGCGTTGACGAAGGCGATCAACCTCAGGGCCCTGCGTCGGACCCGCAGAAGAAACAATCGGACGGGAGCGCTCCGGAGGCGCCGACCACTCGTACTCGTACGAGGGCATGCCTGACTGGAACGGAGAAGTTCATTATCACGTGGAGCGGATTCTCCAGAAGCAACGGCGTCGCGGTAAGCGACATCTCCTCGTAAAGTGGAGGGGCTATGCCCACTCCGAGAACTCGTGGGAGCTGATTGAACGGCTCCTGATTGACTGCCCGAAGGCTGTCGCAATCTGGGAACAGAAACGGCGGCAGCTTCATAAGTAGTCCGGGTCTTCTTGCCTTAACGGGATACGGACGCTGACGACACTCCGTACCTGCGCTCACCGTGAGCGCTAAACCCCGCGCGCTTCAGAATGTCCCTTAACATCATGCGCTTACTGACCAAGTGGGCGAACCGGACACGAAGATCACGCTGGTCCAGGATGCGGGACAGCAGCTGATCTTCATGGAGTTCCCGAAACTCCGAGGATGAGATTCCACCCAAGCCCAGAACATGTCCTGACATGAGCTCCAGTTGGGATAGTTCTCGGGAAGAACCCAGGGAGCCCCAGAGAGGGTAGAGACTACCCCGGTTCTTGAGTTTCTTACGACAAGTCGTGAAGTCATTTAGAGGGATTCGGTGCGGCGCGAGAAGCACGCACCGGGCCGCCTCCAAGTTGCCAACAAACGACTGCTCCTTCTAGACCAGGGTACGTTCGTAAACGCCCTTAAAAGTGCGACCACCAACAAGGCCACGAGGAGCTACGAGAATCTCCAGGAAGAGGTCACCCCCAGAGCTCTCCTCGGGAGGCCAATACCCTCTTGAGTTGATGGCAGCTCCCTGGCTGACGGGTGCCACTGCCGGACCCCCACGCGTGCGCTGGGCAGCTTAGAAGTCCTCCTGCTGCTGGTCGAGGTCGTTAGTGATCTCCTTGGGCTCAGACATAGCACCCTCCTCCTCCTTCTCCTCCTCGTCCTCTTCATCCGAAGAACCGAAGAGGTTCCGATAAAAGTACCCAGTCCTCTTCTCCTCGCGGAGTGGAGACTTCGAAGCCGTACGCTTCTTAGAGGGCTTGGCGCCTTCGGCTTTAGTGGCCTTAGCACTCGTATGACCCTCGGCTAGCGAGAGATCTTTGAGAGGTTTCTCCTCCTCGTCGTCGCCAGCTTTGAGAGAGCCCTTAGCTATGGTGACAGGACCCTCAGTGGGCACAGACGTCCTGGGACTGTGATCACCGTGATCACTAGCGGGCGAGTGCACGACGTCATTGTCGTGCTCGCTGGGCACTGATGTGTACCCTCCCACGGAGCCCACAGGAGCATTGTGAGTGCTCCCGGACTCGGCCTCGTCCTCACAGGCCGAGCCGAACCCACGTTCAACGAACCGGGTACTCGGTCAGTTGTCTGGAGAGTCGGAAGGTGACGGACTGCGGCGCTTGCTTGCACGCTTGCTCGCAGCCGCGCCACCAGATGAATCGATCGTCTCCTAGCCACCTTAGTGGCCTCCTGGAGCGCAGAGCCTTTGCCGCGAGGTTTAGTGCTCTTGGCTTGCCCCTTTTCCGGCAACAGCCTTAAAGAGAGTTTTAGCACCGCTCTTCGCAGCGCATGCTGAGGGTCGATGTGGAGACCGAGAAGAAGAGCGCTCAGCCGCTGCTCGAGGCTTTAGCTATAAAGTGAGCCTTCGCCGCGTTCTCACAGCCAAGTCGATGTATTTCGACTTTGAGAATGAGGGTTTGTGACGTACACTTCCTCATTCTGATTGGTCGGTAAACCGAACCTAAGTGGGGATGTAACGGAGGACGTAGCCCCGAGGGTAAGCCTGGGGATTGGAAGTGTGACATATCTACACTTTGGAATACCTACCAGGGTCGTCAAAGGCCAACCATTGGGTAAGGACATAGCTTTGCTAAAGGTGACTTTAAGTTTGTAAATTGAACTCAAGCTTAGCTATAAATACAGTTAGCTTACACTTACCTTAAACTGGTCACTTCGCTCCCTTCGACAAAAGGAGCCTGTGAACTACGGCTCGCTGAGAGTTTGTATGCTCTCGGAAGCCGACTTCCTCTAGTGCAAAGTGCTGTGTGACCCCGTCACAGCTCGCGACCTTTCAGGAATCGCCGGATCGTGAGGCAGGCGGAAAGCGGCGCCAGCACACCAATTGAGAAGAAGTGCTCCATAAAGGGTTGTAGTAGAAGTCTATGTGCGGAGCGCATATGCAATATTTCCCGCCTATTAGTTTATTTCTTTCGCTTGTAATGATGCGCATACAGCACTGATAGCAAAATGTGGATTAAACCTTTTTAGTTAAAGTGTTTGTGTCGTTCCAATTGCGTTGTGTGGGCAGGTCGCGATCCAGTTAAGAACGACAGGATCGCAACCCCAGGTATCGCTCACGATCCGACAGGTCACGATCCCGGTTAGGATCGGCCCATAGTTGGTCTGGAGCGCTATCGTGCTTACAGTACTACTGTACTGTATTACTGAAGTCAAAGCCACCCCCCTCTGAAATAATATTTTGAGAATTTAATTTTTACTGTGAACCACATAATGTTGCGTTTTGGCGCGAACTTTGCCCGCGCATTCATTTCGCAAGACGCTCCGTGCACGTCGCATCGTCGCTGCTCCTCACCAACACACGCCTGTTCATCGGGCTGGCAGTTATAATAGTCTCTATCCACCACGTCCTGTGTGCAGCTTTCAGCCTTAACAAACGTCCACGCACCGCTACAGCTTGAGAAATCGTGCTGGCAATGAGCACATCCAAATCGTCCGGCAATGGCGTCACCGCCCTCATCGCGGCCTCCACGCCGGCCAAAAGCAGTAGCACAGCCGACAGCAAGAAGAAGACGTTCGCTTCCCCTTCCTTCCTATCACCAGAACCGGCGCAGAAGCCCCACAGCAAGCTCACGTTGAGCGGTCAGCCGACACGCAAGATCAAGCCCCTCAAGCGCGTGCAGGGGCTCTCTACGCCGTCCTCACAGCTTAAGGCGCAGGACATGAAGAGCAGGAAGTTCGGTCTTAAGGCTAAGCACAAGAAGAGCCTTCATAAGGCTGTACGTGTGCTTGAGGACATCTCCAACCGCAGAAACACCGACAAACCGTCGTCCGGGCTGTCCACGACCGTCAGTCTTGATCCTACCAGGAAATTGGAGTTCCCCACTCCAGTCAAGCACAGCAGCGACAAGAAGAAGACGCGCGAAGAGCCTGTAGAGAGCAGTAGCTCCTCGTCCAGCTCGGAAGAAGAAGATGAAGGGTACTCCAGTGACGAGGCCGAGGTTACCTTCGATGCCGCCACGATCGGCAACATGCGAGTCGTACGAGAGTCTCTATCGCAAAGCCCCGCCCTGTCCACAACCAGCAGCGCGTCCATGCCGCCTGTGGGTCTCGAGTATCAGTTCTCCGTCTCCTCGACCGTCTCGTCCGTCGCGGTGGCTCCGAACGGCAAGTTCCTGGTCGTAGGCTTCTACAATGGGATGGTGTATCTCTACCCTCTCACTAAGGACTCTCTCGTCTTCCGTCGTGGCGTCCTATTGGACCAAATCATGCCGCGAGGCATGTACACGCAGATCATGGTGACTGTAGCTATCCCAGAGGACGGGAAATTCATCTTCGCCGGCGTCTACCGCGGCTCCACCGAGATCCGCGCGTTCGAAGTGGACAGCATCGCTCTCCCGTCGTCCACAGACGTGCAGCAGGCGCACAAGACGCAGGTTTTGACCGCAGACGACAGTGGAGACGAAGACGCCGCCAACGCCTTTGGGCAGCCGTCCGCCAAGGCCGTTTCTCACACGTACTCGGACGCCAAACTCAAGGGCTTTGCTGCAGCCAAGAGTTTGTACCACAAAGGCAGCCAGAAGACGGAATACCGGTTACTCTGCGGTATCGGGATCAAGAACGTGCACATGTGGCGCTTCCACCAGACGAGTGACTTACAGTGGCGCTGGGAGTGCGTGTTCGACAAGCAGACGAACGGCATCTCGCTGGAGTTCATCTCATTCCACCCCACCGTTCGTGACCAGTTTCTGTCCAAGTCGGAGCACCAGAACGTGCGCATCTGGCACCTGGAGGAAGACTTTGACGCGGCACACAACTCGGTGACGGTCCGTAAGAAATCGCACACTGACGTCAAGCAGACGGTCGATACGGTGGCGGTGTATGGAGACTACGCGTACGGAGGCAGCGAATCCCTCGCGGTGATCGATCTCCAGTCGGCTAGTCGCATGGATCTGGGCCTGCCGCTGTCTGTTAAGGAGCAACGCGCGCACCGTGAAGCTCAACTGACGTCCAGACACGCGAACTCGCTACGTGCGTGGAACCCGCGCGGGAGTCGGCGACGCACGGAAGACACGCAGCGCCACATGCGGACGGTGAGTAAAGTCGCGGGACAGGATAAGGCACCCTTTACGGTGGGCATGTGCAGCGACGGCAGTGTGTTCTTGCATCAGCCCAAGCAGGAGACCGGCATGGCTACACCTCTGGATTATATTGAAGGCTACGAGCAGTTCTTCGTGGACCCGTCGCTGGACTTCCAGGCGCAGTTCTCGGACCTCACGCGAGTCAACACGAGCGGCTTATTGGCGGTGCTTCCTCTTCCGGACAAGGAAAAGTGGATGGTCGTGGCAGCGAATCAGGACCAGCTTCTCGTACGCAGCTTGGACTCGTTCTTACACCGTAATATGCAGGATAAGGAGCACTCACAGGTTAAGAGCGATTTACGGAGTATCGTGCGGGATCTCGGAGGCGTCAGCAGCTCGGATAGTGACAGCGACTCGGACGATGATAGGCAGCAACTGAAGAAGCGCAGTCGTCCAGAGACGACCACGAAGCTCCAGGAAACGGGACGCAAGGCTAAGCGGAGTCGACAGGATAGCGACAAGATGTCAGACAAGCGAAACACGACGCAGAAGAAGACGAAAGCGAAGCAGGTGGACGATCAGGACAAGGCTGGGGACAGCGTCACGACTCCGAAGCGCAGCAAGACGTCGACCAGCTCCGCGTCTCCGGTGGTATCCATCTCGTCGTCCTCCGGCTCGTCGAACCCGAACACCCCTGAACAGCTCAAGCTGTCTAGAGTGGAGCGACAGCTACTGGCGTTGAAGGAACTGCAGTGGACTCCCCCTCGGACGGACAACCAGGAAGAAGTCGCAGATGCAGCGGCGTTGCTGACGCAGCTCAGTTCCAGCAGCAACGCGGCTAAGAAGGGCGGGAAGAAGACTCACCGCATGAAAGCGCAAGCGTTGTTCGCCGACATGGACAGCGCCGGAGACGCAGAGGTGGCGACGGAGCAGAAGGCGGCGACACCGAAGCCTGCAGCTATCAAGCGCGGCCGAAAGACGTCGCCTCGTGTCGAGGAAGAGACTGTTGCTCAAGAGCCAGAGAAAGAGACACATGCTGAGCCCAAGACCACTGAGGAAGAGGCCGCGCTAGACGAGGAGCTGGAGCAGCTGGAGCAGTACGAGCCAGAGTTCGTGTCCGTGCCTTTCCTGAGTGACGAGGGCTCGCTCTTGGCTGCGACCATGTACCAGTACACGTCGACTACGGCCACCACTGCCGACGCCGACGACGCTAAAGCTGACTGCGCTGCTGCGACTATCGAACAGGTTAACCTGCTTCTGCAGTTTTCGCACCAGAACGAGCGCCTCAAGATGAACTTCCTGGCCGAGCGCGAACGCATCTACAAGCATCCGGACTGCAGCTGCGCGTCGCACGCCAAGAAATCCTCGAGCGCTGCTTCGGGCGTCAACTGGCGTCGGAACGTGGCGCACGACTATCTCAAGCGCAAACAGCTTAAGCGACGACATAAAAAGCAGCTGGCGGCCAAGCTGCAGCAACTCCACGCCAGTTACGCAGCGCAGATCCAGGAGCTGTACGCGATGCAGCAGATGCAGGCCAACGCCCTCCGTGCGCGTCAACAGTTCCAGCACCTGCACACGCAGCTCCGCCACAACACGCCGTCGTCCCCGTCCACCGTCGCGTCCCCCATTAAACACTCAGCCATGCCCGACCATCTCTCCAGTGCTGTCTTTCCTTATCCTGATCTCTTATCCTGAGTGCACTAAATAGTGATAAAACACTCTTTTTGATGTCATGTACATGTAGTACATGTATTACAGCAAGCAGTCGCGGCATGTTATCCTGCGTCATACAGCTTAAAGTGAACTTTATACATGTATCTCAGGCCTCCATCCGTTTCCGGCACCGCCGACACATCAGGTTCGGCCGTGCGTCACAGCATGGCTTATACTCAGGTTAAGTGGACATTATGCGCCGAGACCATCATCGTCTGTCCCTTTGCTTATGCCTCCACCGCCGTTGAGACCAGGTCCTCCCTCACTTTCGAATTTGCCCGCTCCCGCCCACCATGACTCACAGCCAGATCACTCCTATGGCGCCTACCGACGACGTGACCGTTGTGGTCTTCCCCTCCAAGGACGACAGCTCGGACAAGACGGAGCTCGTGGTCCAGCGCCCGAGCCGCAAGTACAAACTCTTCCTGGCCGCCCTGTACACGTTGGCGTCGTCCGGGTTCCTCTACGGCTGCGTGGCTTTTGTCACATTCTTCGGAGACTTGTTCACGTTCCTACTGGTTCTTACTCGCCAGTGACGAGAATCCCGTCAATGAGAGCGTCACCAGAATTTTTTGAGGGCATGCAACAACACTAAACTATCGCCGGCCATGCCAAAACCTCCCGTACTTAACGTATTTAAACATGTAACATTTGATCCTTTCCAACGCAACTCCCTGTCTGTTCTTGCTAACAACTTCTTCGGACTTGCTGTCCTGTAGTTTGAGCCGAAAAAGGGAAACTTGCGCATGGCAACTTCGCCGTAGACACGCGTCAAGTGTACTCACCGCTGCAGCCCTCCTTGAGCCGGGCATCGTCCTAGTCTCAGCCATGGTGAGCAACACGTTTCCAGTGACCAACACGAGTCGAGTAATCCATTCGCTATTGCTGGGTGGGTGGTATATGACATATTCTTCTCTCAACATTGTTGAGTGAAGTGCCCACACACTGTACACTACTACGGTACGAAGCCGAGGAGGGCCAGCGACGCCCTGTTAATAACTAACAGTGTGCCATCGCACTCGAGGCACAATCGAACCCTGCCATCGTCTTCGATCTCTCTTGAAACGCCCACGCTGTCGCAGATGATCGTTGTCAGCTTCCACGTTTTTTTAGAACTCGCTGCGGATACGGCCGTGAAACCCTGGCTGCGGAAAACGCGATGGTGTCGGCGGACGACAACCAACTACAGCTCTCCAGAAAAGTAATTACCACAAAAGTGGCGCAGAGTTATCGGGGAAGCGTCTTCAATATATGGATATCCTTTCGAATCAAATGTGAGGATAGCTCACGCTAGACTGCAGCCCCTCACTCTCACCATAAAAGGCAAGCAGCTCATGGTACATCTCGTCAAATGGAGGCTATCGTGTGTCACCTTACGCGTAAAGCTGTTGAAAGAGCCCCATCAACTTTTGAATCAATTTGAATCTCCTGATGATGGCGTCGGCATCAGTGCCGTTTATGCTCGGTCGTTATGGTGGACATCATAAAGGTCAAGCCAGATCAGAGTCGTTGCCCACTTTTAATTTAGCCAACTTCAGCCCACCCGGTCAAGAAACCTCATCATTCTTCAACTACAATGGCAATTCAAGTGATGCCTCTGCCTCCTCCGAACGATGTCACGGTGATTATCGACGACGGGGAGAGCTCGAAAGATCAGGGGCCAGCAAAGACGCATACACTCCAGCAAAGTCTTCTCTTGGGGATTCTCTTCACGATCATGTTCATTGGGGCTCTCTACTTGTTTGTATCCGCGATTGAGCTCATCAACGACGGATTCATCTGTCTCTTGGAAGTGGCGAAACGACAGCATCGAATTTCGTTAACGTAAAACCAACGCTTGTTTTCCAATGCAACCCATCAAATAAAGTAAGGGAATACTGTCAAGTCGATTGCTCATCCATATTTATCTATTACGATAACAAACCCCTTTAAGTTTTATCACCGCGTTACTTCCTTCTACAGTGATACTGTATCTTGCTAAATTAGCTTTTTTCTGGACTGATGCTAAGATTTTATGAACTGGATCTAGTAACTGTAAAAATTATTCTAGATAAAGGAGTTTTGTTATATTGTCCTTTGCCACGAAAAAGAATGATGGTCAGCTCGGTGCTGGACTTCATCTGTGACTGTTTCCAGTGTTAGCAAGTGATTGAATTTTGGATTTTAGTGGATTAACAAAAACCATGATTCAACCTGGCCCAAGAACCAGTAGTCACCAGAAAACCGGGCCCATGGCTGGTTTTATCAGGTTGGCTTATATGACAAAATACCACAATTTGCCTACGAGCCAGACCGTGACCAGCTCTCCGGTCTTGACAACGTCTTTTGCCTCACGCCGCTCCACGAAATGAATCGATGCTTGGTTTGAAGGCTAGGTTTGACGCGGAGAACGCTTCATGATGGCTACCTTTCAGACAAAATCCCGAAATTAACCCACATGTGTGTGCGAGCGATAAGTGCTCCAAGCTCATCAACTTAGAGATCGACTGGGGGAAGGCGCAGCAAGCGCATCTTGATTCAAAGCATGGTGGTGTAGCGGGGTCGGTAAAATCTGTGAGATTGCTAATCCCACCAATGTCCAGATACCGATCAACGAAGGGGGACCTCCGATGATCCGTGATCTGCTGAACTTCCTCACCTAGTGGATCCGACGGTTGGAAAGGTTCTGCCCTTTCAGGGACTGATGAAGCGTCCAAGTGGTGAAGCTTAATGGTTTTGGCAAGAGGGTAAAGTAGTAGTGGCAGATCTTCAATTCTACGACCAATGTTACATCCAGGTCACGAGCGAGTTACCCAAGCTTATTGGATCTGACGACCTAGGTCTGCGATCTGACGTTTGAGCTGTGTTTTCTATCCTCAAGTTCCTTTGCGTCGTACTTGCCGCTTCCTATAGTAGAATCTTCAGTCTAGAGAACCGTAGAGGAGTTACCGACCAAGTAGTATATCCGTGAGTATGACGCGCAGGTGTGATGTAGCGGGATCAGTAAAATCTGCGAGATTGCCGGATCCAACTTACCAACTGCGCCCAGACACCGACTAACGGAGGGGGTCCCCCGATGATCCGTGTTCTGCTGAACTTTCCTCACCTTGTGTACCCGTCGGTAGGGCGAGATCTGCTCTCTCGGTAACTTCCGAAGAGTTCAAGTGGTGAAGCTTGAGTGTCTTGGCGAGACGTGGGGATGGGGTGGAGCAGCAGTGGAAAATCTTCACTCTGCGTCCGTGGATGGTTCCGTATCCTAAGCGAATATTCGAGCTTATGAATCCGGGGCCTAAATCGTGGATCTGGCCGTAGGGTTGCCTTGCGGGTGTGTTCCCTTGCCTTTGTAGCTCCTTTGTGTCGTACTTGCCGCCTCCTGTGACGGGATCTTGAGAGTTGATAGCCTCTAGGGTATGACCGACCAAGTAGTAAATTCGGTTAACCCGTCGGATCTGCACGTGTATGGGAAAGCTCACTAGGTTGTAGGAACTGGCCAATGTATTATCCAGTTATCACTACCAACACTAGATTCGCAATTCCCAACCTTCTCCGAGCTCGCACGGCCAATGTAGCTCCGGTTCTTGAGGGCAGGAAGGCACTTGCGTGTTATGGTGCAAATGAGGTTCTGTATTGATACTTAAGCCTATACCTGCCTGGATTTCTACCTTCTATGTCTTTCACTCGTTAAATCCCTTACCAGGCTCGGCTGCATGTCCCTTCTTCCCTTGACCCATCATCCCAGCTGTATTATCTTCAGATCCACCGGATTCATGGCGTAATCATTATAGTCACCCTATTATGGGTACACTCATCCGGATCCAGGTCGCTTGGATCCAATTCACTGTGAATGTACACTCGTCGTGGATCTGAGCTCTACAATCGTCCAACATCATCTCGCAACCGTTTGTACTCTCCATTGTCTCACGAAAGCTCGAGATCCACTGCATCCATCATCCCTATACCCTGGATCCAGGTCCCTCTTTGCGGGATCCTCCCTCCTTGGATCCGAACTCGGAAGTATGGGATCCGGGGTACCTCGCGGTGGATCCTGACTTCTTGTTAGCCGTGGCTACTAGATCCACCTTCGGATGGCACCTACCCCCATTCCTTCATAGGATCTACACTCGATCCACTGGTACATAGTATATCCCATATCCACCTAAGTGAATCCAGGTAAGGGTGGATCCGAGATAAGTCTTGGTGGATCTTGCCTTCCCGTACATCACTCATACCAGATCAATCGTCATTTCGTACGGTGTGTTGCTCGTCATGGCTAATCCACCACAGGCAACTTGCATCCGTGCTAGACAACCCAAATCCTCTCTAATCA